AAATAAATTTTTTTGGTGAATACTGCAAATAATGTGAATATTTGAATACTGGGCATATTGATTAAAGATTAATACCTGATTTTATGCACATACAATATAATTGTTTAGTTAACAATTATATCATATATATGTATATAAAATTGGGCATTATTCTTTAATCAATGTACCAAGGTAATTGAGTATTCAGATATTTACATTATTCACAGTATTCACAGTATTTACCAAGCAAAATTTTTTTATTTGCCATTTTAATCATTTTGAAAACTGCAATAAGTAATTTTTGCAGAATAAAAATTTTTGCATGACAAAGAATTTTGCATGATTAATTTTTTTGTAATATTTCATGATGTTAAAATTTTTGGAATTTATTGTATAAAAGAACTTTTATCTTTTCTTCTAATTTATCAAAAATATTATTTTCTAAACAAAAATGAATCCTAAAAAATGAAAAACTCCTTCTTAAGACAAACAATTTTCCCCAACCATCACCCGTTCTGTTTAACAACCTCAATCAACCTACTCTGTTTAACAATTTCAATCTTCACCCTAGCCCATTTGACAATCTCAATTATCAACCTACCCTATTCAACAACCTCAATCATTAACCTATCTCATTCAACAACCTCAATCATTAACCTAACCTATTCAACAGTTTTAATCTTCACTCCAGCTCATTCACTAATTTTGATCTTCAACCCAGCCCATTTAACAATTTCAATCTTTAACCCAGTCTGTTCAATAGCAATCCTACTCTGTTCAACCTGTTTAACAACTTCTCAACCTGTTCAACCTTTTCAATCCTCTGTTCCACAACTCCAGTTTTGGTCCCAGTCTCAACCCATCTGACCTTAATCACAATCTCAATCACTAACCCAACCAGTTTACAACTAGTATCATATAAAATTCAAAGTTCATCTGTTATTTCTGGTATCATTTTTTAAAAAAAAATTAAAAATAAATAATTCAAGCTTTTAGTAACTACATGTCAATGATATCTTATGATATTGTAATGATATCAGTATGATATAGTTACGATATCATTAATATGTAGTTACTAAAAGCTTGATTTTTGCTTTTTTATTAATTAATATTATTCTAATAAATAAACTTATTTTATATTTTCTTTTTTTATTTTCTATAGATCTTAATACAGTATTGAATTACTTGAAACATTACATTAATAATAATCATTTTACAATACTTACAGCTCTGCAAAATAGATTTGGGCTACTCACTAATAATCTTCTTAATGACAGTGTAGATGCTATAATAAATGTTTTCTTTCTGAATATATTGAAATGATCTTGATCACCAACTTCAATTCTATCACAATTATCAAGCCCAATTTTGCCAGAAGATTTTTACTTCATGAATCTTGATGATTAGACATATTTACTGCCACTTTCTGTTGAGCCTCAAGATGATTATAAAGTAGAGCTGCTCAAGAATGGTTTAAATCTCTCCTAGTCTATTTTGAAAATGGGTATTTTCCATTCATACCAAGATAAGCTCACAATGTTTTTTTATCTTTTACAAAGCATGGAAAAACTCTAATATCTGTGCAAGTCTGTGATTACTATGCAACCTATAAGGTAATAGTTATATCATTATAATTTATTTTTATATATTAGAATTAGTGATAGAGGTTGATGAAAAATCATGAGCCAGAGTCAATTCTAAAAAAGCTCAGGCTGGTCGACCAGACTGATCTTTTTGTTAGTATAATTTTTTTCTAATCAAAATCAGTTAATATATCATATTAAATGTGCAAAAAGCTATTAGGTAGTTTCTTGTCAAATTCTTGTGATATTAAATGATATAATTCTTATTTTTTTTGTTCTTGAGAAAATTTTAGCATGTTAATATTTTATATTGATTAATTGTCTATACTACCGAACATTATATTTTATGTTAATTGATTGTCTATGCTGCTGAACATTTTTGATCCTTAAATTAAATTTGCTATTTGCCAATTTTATCATTTAAATAAGCCAACCTCTTTTACATTATTATAAACAACTAGCTGAGTTTATTTAATTTCTAGTCTAAAAATATGCTTAGAAGAAAAATTTCTCTTATCAACTGGCCCAGCTCACAAAGGTGAAGGCAGGGACACAGATCAATTCTGATTTGATTTGTAAAAAAATTCATTTCGATATAGTAAAAAAATTCTTCATATAGAATATAAAATTTTACTTCTATTTTATCTATATAGTCCAGTGATAGTCTCTGGAATGTTCTAGTGATAATTACTAGAACTGGAAGATCACTGGAATCAACTGAAAGGAATTAGTAAAATATGTCTTTCAGTAGTAAGTTGTCACTGGACCCTTCTAGTGAGAAATTTTAATCCACTAGAAGGAAGTTCCAGTAATTTCCAGTTGCTTCTAGTGAGTCCAGTGACTTTTACAAGTAGCTTTAGCTAGCAGAATTACTATATCAGATTTGTATCTGCATATTAATTACTCAGGTATATAAGTACATACTTATTACAACTCTTTGTTTTGCAATTATCAATGATGTTAAACCTTTTTTTTATCACGTTGACTGGAATAAGTCCAATTCCAGATCTGAATGGCTAACTTAATAAGGATGACAATGAGAAAAAAGATAAATATATTATAAACAGTTATGAGTTAACTTTCCAAAATCAATTTGCTAAAATACTATTTTACCGAAGTCATAATGACTTTTTGAACTTGGCATTCTATATTTAAAGCTTTCACTTTTATATATTTGCTGTAGTAAAAAAACAATCAAGGTGTTTAAGGTAAAGTTAGATTTTAAAAATAGACTCTTACAAGCTATTAATTTATTGTGTTTAGGCTTAAATTACTTCTTCTACTTTATTCTTGTATAGAGCTTGTTAAATAGATAGATATAATATCAATATGGCTTTAGATATCAAATATTCTATAATACTGTAATAAAATATGCTTAAAAAACGATGCTTGAAAATAAGAGAAAAACATTTTTATATTCGAGTACAACTTAAAAATCATATAATTCAAAACTTGAAGACAACTTTTTTATATAACGAATATATATAATCACTGTGAATGGCTAGCAATTACTCAGGTTTAAATTGTTAGAGATAATGAATTTGAAGAATAGCTATAAGAAATATAATTTCAAACTTCTTGTAATTTTACTTTTGCAAGTTTAATCATTATAATATGATTTGCTTTGATTATAACTAGAGTTCCAATCCGGATAAATCTGTCATCCGTTTATCCGTATCTGATTATCCGGATTATCCAAATCGCTCAGATATCTGGATAATCCAACGGGTAATCAGATAATTATCCGGATATTAATAGTAAAACGGATATCCGAATAAATTCAGATTTGGATATCCGATGGATAAATGGATAAACGGATAATGGATAGGAACACTAATTATAACAATCACAGTAAATACGATTATTTAATTGTAAAAAATTGAGAATTCTTCCTATTTTTCAAGCCTGAAAATACTAATAATCGATACTATAATATTATGAAATATGAAATACTTAAATTTGAATTAGATTTTGATAATATAATCTTCATGATACTAATTTTTATTTGCCAAGATCCATTACATTCATCCAAAATTTTTTTTTATAACCAAGATAGGACCCGAATAGTGTATATGCAAAATTAAACTTAAAGTAGATGCTCATTTCAAAGGACTAGATCTGAATATAATTATTTAATACTTGGCATCTCCTTTTAGTGAACAGGTCCACAGAAAAGTGCTATTAAAACAATACTCATGCACTTACTGAACTTAATTTTTTTTAAAAAAAAATTCCATATTAACCCAAATCATTCTATAATTCTGCATAGTAAGATCATATAATTTCAAGCCTGAATATACTAATAATCATAAAGTACTTACTTTTAAATTAGAATTTGATAATATAACAGTATAATCTTCAAGATACTGATTCTTATTCGCTGCATAAATCATATGGGTCTGTTATATTCACCCCAAAAAAATTTTTTTTTAAAAAAAAAATTAGGATAGAACTCAAATAGTTTATATGCAAAAGAAGACACTTGTTTCATGAGACTGGGTCTAAATCTAATTATTTAATGCTTGGCTTCCACTTTTAGTAAACAGATCCATGGAAAGGCACTATTAAAACATAATACTCATGCACTTAACAAACCTTAATTTTGAAATTAGTATAAAAAGCAGCATGTTGATGCATGATATTTCTGTTTTAAATATAAAATAGATTTCAAAATGTATTAAAAAAAAAGCATGCATATACTTTAATAAAAAAAATAAAACCTTAATTTCATAAATAAGTAATTATACATTATTATATGTAGTCTCTTCGAATTAAGTCCAGTTTTAACGAACTCAAGTCTTGCTAAAGTTATACTTATAGCTGGGCTAAACTGCATATATATTATGCAATGCATTTCCATTTAATCACTGTATTGTGTATAATAATATGATTTTTAGTGAAGCATCATTAGTAGAGGTATTAATCGATTTATTTAACTCAATTAAATAATTACAGTTATAATAAAAAATATACAGCAATCAAGTTGATTAACACCTCTAGTCATTAGAAATAGATATCAAATTATAATTATAGAAAGTTTCTTTCTTCACTTGCAATGCAGGTAATTCATTTAGAGAATATAATCGCATATGAAAATCTATAGGGAAAAGGAGAGTTTTGGGGGGTGTTATTAAGCAATTAAATATATATATCTATAAGAAGAATATTAAAATATTTTTTCTCTAATAAAACATAAACATCTTTATCTGAAAAACTATATTTTCTATAGTTTTAAACTATCTTATGACTTTAACACTCGACAATTCATATTAACTTGATGTATTCTAATTAAAATGGCTTAAAGGCATACGTGTGGTTCTAAAAAACATAGATTTACCAAAGATATTATTGTGCTTGGTATAAAAACCACAAATAAATACAATACTAGCTGTATATATAAAGCTTGTGATGATGCCCTTGGTCGTAATGAAGCTTTAAATGAAACATTCACTAATAAAAAATGTTGTAAGAAATCACTTAAAAAAATGCAAGTATTTTCATGCTAAACTTGGTTCTCAAGAAGCAGTAGATAATTATTGTAATAAGACAGCTAATAAAGCAGAAAGGAATCTACAAGCATCGAAAATACATCCAAATGCTGATGATACATCAGGTATTTGAAATATTGAAAATTTGTAATAACTATTCAAATAAATAATTTTTTATATTTTTTTTAAAAAAAAAAGATGATAATTGCACAAGTGATATAACTAAAAAGTTAAAAAAAAGAACAGATTCCAGCTCTATATCTAAATTCATTTTTAAAGATATTGCCACAAAAGATAAATTAATATTTGAATGATTATTACTTCAAATGACAATAGCAAATAGACGGGCATTTTAATGGATAACAAATTCAGAAACTACAAAATTTTTTAAATTCTTAAATTCAGCACTTACTCTTCCTAGTCAGTGTGTATTATCCAATTGTATCCTTGATGCTGAGAGAATAAATTATATTAAATCACAAAAGCAAAAATTAAAAGAAGATGGTATTGAGATTACCTTGGCATTTGACGGTTGAAAAAATATTTTAAATCAACATATTTTTGGTTCATTATTTATTTTGTCAACTGGAGAAGTTCAGATTTGAGAAGCAATTGATACTAGTTTAGAAAGAGAAAGAATGATCAAAATTATCTCTAAAATCGAGAATATGATTAGAAATATATTGAGTATGGGAGCAAAACTATTAGCAATTGTTTCTGATAGTGTGCCTGCATATTCTGCTGCCAGGTAATTAAAAATAATAAAATAAAATATATCAAAAAATTATATAGTTAGACCTTTTTAAGTGCATCCTTTATAAGTGCATACCCTCTTAAATACACATTCAAGTGCTGGCCCAAATATATACTTAACCTTCATAAATGCACTTTTTCTTATTCTCTAAATGCATGTTATTAAAGTGTGGTACTAAGAGCGTGCACTTAGAGAGGCCTGACTGTATTTACTACTTTGTTTTTCAATTGTTAACTCTAATTATTTCAATAGACATTAGTTACAATTACAATATTCAGGAATTGCATTCTTTCCTTGTTTCGCTCATCAATGCAATTTAGCTATAAGAGAAATATTCAAAGAATCTGCAGAATTTAAACTTGCAATGAAACAATCAATAAAAATAGGCAGCTATTTTAACAATACACTTCATTCATATTTTATTGCAAAGCTTTGTGACATACAAAAATAAATATATTCTAAATACATTACTTTAATTTGTCCAAGTAACACACATTGGAATTCATATTGCTATTGTTTCAAAAGTCTATTAAAATCTTATCAAGCTTTAAGGGTTAGTGTTAGAGTTTTGTGCAGTGTTAAAAATTTAATGTTTCCAATATTCCTGGGAACATTAAAAAAATTTAAGAACACTAGATTTAAAATTCATGTTCCTTTTTCAGAACAAATTAGGAACATAAAAGTTATGATTTATGTTCCTATAAAGAGAGAGGGGGGGATATATTTATTATTTTTATTATAGGAGTATAAAAGATTTTTTTGGGAACATAAATTTAATAATTTATGTTCCCAAAGCCCGAAGAACAAAAAATTTTTCAAATCTTTTTTACTAGTTCTGTAAGTGCTGGGTATAGCACTAATAAATTATAGTGCTCTGCACACAGATACTATATTTTATTGGTACTATGTCCAGCACTTGCGAAACCCTACTTAATATCTATAAAATGTTAATTTAAACAAATATTTAACCTAAATATTAAAAATTTTCAAGAACTTAGCTATTATATTTAAATCACCTTTTGAAAGTTCAGCTTATAAATCTGACAATAAAAAATTGAATCAGCATTCTAATAGCTTAGATGAACTTTGTCTTTCACAAAATATAACAGCAATTTTACTTAATAACAATTTTTAGCAATTAATAATGCTGTTATATACTTTGCTTCTTCCTTATTGCGGAGCTCTTAACAAACTATAATCAGATACTGCATGTCTTTATGATGTGTTACAAGCTTTTGGTAGAAATTTAAGAATGTGGGAGGAGTATTCAGATCAAAATTTGGCTCAGCATATGATTTTGCGGTTAAAACAAAGATAGAGATAATGGGAACAACCATTACTACTATTAGCTTTTCTTTTAAACCCATTTATACATATTACATGGTTCAATCATAATAATGAAAATTTAAACTTTATATATCTAGCTCAATTTGTTACTTACTATTACAAAGCATGGTTTGGGCACCAGCCAATCTGTATTTTGCTTGAACTAAAAGAATATAGAAAGTGTAAATATCCCTTTGACTTTGCAACATATGAACAATTTGAAAAAGATATACTATGATTTTAGAAATTCGTCTCTCCTTCAATTAAAAAATTAGATCTATTGGCTATACATTTATTTGAAATATGCATTAATGCAGAATCTGTAGAGCAATTGTGGAGTTCAATAGGATTTCTTCATACTAACCATCACAACCGTCTCCAAGTAAGGTTTTTCTTGATTTATAGTTTTAAAATTAACTTACTATTATTATTATTATTATTATTTTAATATAGAATGAAAAAGTATTAGCTATAAGTCAAATTCGTGGTTTTATTAAAATAATTGAACTTCAAATTTTAATATATATATATATTCTGTATTGAAATTTAATCTTATATTTTAAAACCTTACCTATAAATATACAGTATATTTTAAAATCAAACATTAAAAACAAGTATAAATATGATTAAAAAAAAAAGAAAAAAAACTGTTCACGTTCCCATTTATAAATAGAAGTTAGGATTTGCTGAATCATTGAAGGGTCTTTAGATCTTGAATAACATTGTAACAGATCGATGGCATTAGAAGAAAATTTAAAGACAGTGTCATTTATCACCTGATTTTTTTTATCAGAAGCTTATCCCCTCCTCCTCTTAATATATATTTTGATCAGGTTCTTATATATAATTTTAAAATTTTTACCCCCTTCTCCCCTAAAAAATCATCTGATTTTTGTCACGTCCCTAAGCATTTAAAAAGAACTTTAGATAAGAAATCAATAAAAGAACGATCTTGCATAATATTGTAATAGATCGATAGTATTAGAAGAAAATGCTACGTATTTAAAAAGAATTTTAGATAAGAAATCAATAAAAGAACGTTATTGAATAATATTGTAACAGATCGATAGTATTAGAAGAAAATGCTACGCATTTAAAAAGAATTTTAGATAAGAAATCAATAAAAGAATATTTATAAATATTATACGTAAATCTTATATCTGTATAACAAAAGTCATTCTTATTAAAGTCATGTATAATATGCGCATTTTTATTGGTTAATGCAGCTTGCTATTCGCACATTTTTATTGTATAATAATATATATGTTCCAGTACTAAAATTCTTCCAGTTAGAATTTTTACTGGAACCACTAGAAGGCTAGAAGAGTCTAGAATTCCAGTGTTATTCAAGAATTCCAGTGCTAATACTGATATAGTTAATTCTACACAAGTGCTTCTTTTTCTTTTTTTTATAAGATTTATTAATTATTTTTATACATTATAATTAAACTCTATAAGTATACATTTTCTAGATGAAAGCCCACTTCTATAACTTTGTGACACTTAACTCTTGATATTTTCTAAACTTTTCTGAAACTTTCTGACATTCCAAATTATATTATCTGGCCCAAATTAAACATACACTGCTCTTAATTTTGCCCAAAGATTCATTGTTGTCAAAAATTCTATTTTATATTATTTTGTACTAAAAATTTAGTTTTTTTATTCATATCTATATATATATGAATTTTTTTATGTTTTTGAAGCAGGCTAAGTGTCAAACAGCCCATTGACTCAGCTGTTGAGCCAGGCAACTTGTATTACTAGTTAGAATATATGACAACTATTTAAAAATAAATTATTACTAAACATAGTAATAACATTTTATTTTATTAAGAAGTTTTCAAAATTTGTCAATAAACTTTTTAGAAATAAAATGCATGCATTATTTATCCATTATAGGAACCTTGATAATAGCAAATCTAATCAAATAATTAAAAAATTTTCAAAAATTTTGGTTCCAGAAATAGGAAATATAATTTTGATAATGCAGCATCAAAATTTTTTCTATCTTTATTGAGTGGCATCATATTCTGTGGGATAAAATTATTAAATTGTATATTCAGTTACAAATTGGGGCAAAAAGATAAAATAATTATTAGTTATTAGTAATATTGTTTTATTTAGTTTTTTAATATGTACTAATATTATCAAAAAAACTCTTTCCACTGATCTTCTGGTTAACAAGTCCATAAATCTGAACTACAGTCATCACTATAGAAGACATCAAAGAGTGATAATATACTTGGTTCTACACAAGTAGGTGTGTTGTTGACGAAGTACCAAAAGTGTAAAACTGAGGAGCAGACTACTTTGGATGGTTTTTATAAAGGTCAAGCTTTCTCGCTAGTGGACTCCTCTATTATATTCAGCATCTAAATTAGAAGGATATTCTGGGAACACAGAATGACAAGATTGATACTAAGCATATTAAAAAAACTAGAGATAGTTTCTATACAACTGTTAAACTTATAAGAAAGAACCTACAAAGTTACATTGGCCCACCACTTTTTTTGAGAAAATTTTGTCAAAAAGTAGGCATCTTAGTTTACCTCTTCCAAAAGATCAATATGTAATTTTTCAAAACAGTTGGTATTGTTTAACTAACCCAAAATGGGTTGGCTCTCCTAAAACAGATTGTTTACTTTTGTAAACATGAAATCGATGGATATCTGAATTAAGCAACCAAGCACATCTGAAGGACAACACAATTAGATAGCATGTCTCGACTGAAAGAAACTGTTTAAACAATACTTTGAGACTATCAGTATTTTTTTTTTACTACTCTGTCTAGTCAAGTTTAAATCTACTATTTTTCTTTTTTTTCTAGTGTAGATTAAATATATTATTAGGATAAAGTTAGATACAGAGCTTCTTTATCTTGTAATATATAATGTAATATGTAATTTTTCTTAGCTTGACACAGGCTTATAATTATGACTATCAGATTTTTTACTTTCATTCTTTCTCTTTCCCCTTTTTAGTATTAGTATTAGTGTTAGTATTTATTTTCTTTTTTTTACTTTCCTATGAGAAGATGTCATCAGATTGGCGATATCCTATTATAAGGCAGTAGTCTAATATAGCTTTTTAGAATAGGTGGTCTTTGGATTTTCTATTGATTTACCGTAATATATCTTTTGTAGATTTATTAATCTAGTGCGGCAGGTCACTTGTAAATGCTTATAGAAGTAACTATAGAGTGTTAGACCTAAATATTAAACTTAAAGTATCTTGTACAACCTGTAAAAGTTAAAAAAAAATATATACTTATATTATCATATATGCTTCATCAACACTTCTCAACAATTACTTGTACCAAACTTATGGCTAATGAAAACAGAAACTTGTTGGAGAAAAGTAGAAAAGACAACTACAAATAATGGTTTCTACAGAGGTTAAGGTTTTCTCTAATCTTACCAACTTCTTTGTATATTCAATATGCAAGTTAAAAGT